CCCCCCCCCCCCCCCCTCCGCCCCATAACATAACAGCACCCAAGTCAACACGAACCAACCGTACGGTGCATTGTGCACACTCAAGTCATGTCCCCTATCCGTCGGAACGAACAACCGGTCGATGGTAGTAGGTACATAAATTCACCTCGTTTTCGCCGAAACCCTTCCACTACAAGAAGCACGAATGTCGCGGTTTCTGTCGATCAACGCAAGATGTCTCGTCAAGGTCTGCCGTGGGTAGTGTAGGTTGTGTTTTATCCTATGCCCCCGTGTTGTCTGCAGCCCGAAGAACGCTTTGTCTTCCGCATACAACAATAAAACAAATTGTCGATGGGGTGCTTCGAAAGCAAGCCCAATCAGAGTTTTTAATTCAAACACTACCGTGTTCGTATCGGTACTCACAGTCAATCCCAACCAACCGTGATGTTCGTCGCTTAATCTTACCGAAGAAAATAAAACTTATCTTAAGAAAAAAGTACCGCGCACAAACGGCTTACTAATATACAACAGTTGCTCTTGCCGTCGTTCTAACTACTTTCCGGCAACGCGTCATGCATTGACGAGGTTTGTGGGCGGGGAGGGCGGTAAATTCTGAGCCTCAGATTTTTGTGAGGACGTGCGTTGCCTCTCACGCCTAATCGCCTTACGTGATGCGTGGACAGGAAATTTCGACGTTTGTTTGTGTGTACCTGTCGATACAACTGTACGTGATGTGACCATTTGTCTGTATGGAGCCTGCGGAGTAAGAACGTCACTGCGAAGCACCGGATGGAGTACACGAGTAATGAATTAACTTTCCAGCTGTTCTTGTGCGAAGTAGTGGTTCGATTGGGTGCTTTAGTTTTCGCCATTCAAGCCGTCAGTCACACAACATCATCAGTGGTTGCTTGAGTGCTTCAGTTTGAAACTCGCAACCATCTGGTGTTAGGGCGTAGTCTCGAATGTGGGTGCAGTGCTCTGGACTACGGAATATTTTCTGAACATTGCATGTACAACAGAAAGTTAGTTGATGGTTGGAGCTGCACCGCGCAAACCATACATACCCCATCATATGTACGTTTGGGTCAACCAAAACACAATTTGCCGTGAACCCGTAGTCATTAGGATCAATCAAAATCAATCGTATTTGGAAGTTTGTCCATCCCCTCGTAGATTCATTTTAGAAAACCAATCCCCACAGAAGGCGACAACCCGCGCGACCTATTCCCCTGCGAGAAAACGAACCGAATACCTAGGTTTTAGAGTAGTATGAGTTTCAACATAGCGCACTTTTTGCAAAACTTCAAAGTACATAGCGCACTTCTTGCAAAACTTCAAAGTACGTGACATTGGTACGATAGCATTAGACAACCGACGTCTTAGACAATTTTTGTGGCTTCCGTTGGCAGGCTCCATTCCTGGAAATGCACACACATCCCGCTACCAATGTCACGTCAGTTGGACCGACCGGTGCGGACAATAGAAGGTACTGACTGAGAAGAGACCGAAACAGTTTTCTTTATGTCAAGACACCCAACTACGTTCAGAAGCTGGGAAGTGAGAAGCAGGTGCTTGCCCGGTCAAGAACCTTACTGAAAAATGACGGGTTCATGGTTTTGCGATAATAATGATTCATCGTCCGTCAACCAGACCGATTGATTCGTCTCAGGACGGATTGAACGGAAACGGCATCCACCACACGCTCGATGGTCCATTTGAATCTCTCTTTTCAAGCCTCCTGCTAAATCCGGATCTCGCAGCACTTTACGTGTGCGTTTTGAGACAAGGTGGGACGGGTGGAAAGCCACGCAGCAGTAGACGGTCCCACCACGCAGGATAATACATTCTTGTAAAAAATCCCAACAAAATAAGAAGAATAAATACACACCGCATTCGTATCGCCCACGTACGACTGGTGATGAAACAACGGATAATGATGGCGGATGTTTCACTCGACTTCGTTCAATATCCCATCCTACGGAACCCACCCAAAAAATGGCTCTCTTTTGGCCAGGACAGAGCCGCTGAAGCACAATAAACAGTTATTGCCGCATAAGTCGGCCTACGGCAACAACAGGAAAAGAGAGAGAGAGCGTTCCGGCCTCGGCACGTACCCTATGGCTGGGGACACTACAACCAACGGCAAGAGTCAATAGAAAAAAGAGTACCCGCAAACAAAGGGCGCCGGCACAAAACAATCCAAGACGAGGGGAAACAATCTTGGCAACAAATATATCAGCGCACAGAGAGAAAGAAAGGCAAAAGCAGCTTTTGTATGCATACGGGAAAACACCCGAAGAGCGACGTGTAAAGTCTAATCATGCTAGGCGTCCAATGTCTCCAAGCTCGCGGCGTTTTCCGCCAACGGCGAAACAAGCAACGACTTACATCTATCTAGGCAAAGCTTCCGACGAAAACACTGGAAACAACGAGTGACGGGGCAGATTCAACCACAACGCTAAATTGCAAAGCATAACACAATGGAACCGTTGTCTGCAGTTGGTGTTCGAAATCTACCGAGCCGTTAGACCTTCCAAAACATTGCGTTGCCGAACGCACCGGTCAAGCACGAACCAACGGCAAGCGTGGCCGCTAAATGAAATATCTATGTAGATGCTGGATGGGCTTTGGAGGCAATATCCTAGCTCCGGACAGGATCACGAGGAGTTTTCGAGCTCGTCCACCAAGCCATCTAAGTCGCTCCCGACACTGCTGCCGTCATCCGCGCTACCGCTGCTCACACTGCTAGCCCTGCCGATGGAGGAGCTCACGGACCGAGACCTCCCCCCTACACTACCTTGGCTATCCGGCCTGCCGGGACTCCTCCTCCACACGCCCCCACCCCCGCTACCGCTGCGCCCCCTAGTAGTAAAGGCCTCGTCGCCGCGGCGGTCATCAACCTCGTCCTCGTCCTCGTCCTCGTCCTCGTCCTCCCCTTGTCGTTGTCGTTTCCCACCAAATTTTCCGGGACCACAGGGGCTCGAACCGCCGCCACCGCCACAGCCACCGTCCCCGCTCTCGCTGCCGCTACCGCTACCGCCGCTGCTGGCCGTTCCGCTCTCGGACGACCGCCCCCTTCGAGGCGACGAGATGCTTCCTCTCCGGTTCGCGTCGGCGGACGACATGGACGATTCCGGCGGGGGGAGGGGCGCGGGAAGAGGCGGCGGCTCTCCACCGCAGATTTGCTGAAAAATACGTGCATGCCCAAAAGTTTGGCGGTTTTGGCGGCGGGCGGGGGGCAGAGTGGTTACAGTGATGTACCATTTATGGATGTCCTTGTTCCGTGATACTACCATGAGCAGGAAGTGACTCCGAGTTGTGCTCCTAGCGCGAGAGCATGGTGCCAATCATGCCTCCTGTTTGACCCCGCCTGAATTGCCAAACAAACAACGGAGAGGTCTAGTGCAGGGAGAGGTGTCGTGTACACTCATGCCCGAGTAGACGGGACGAAACAACACATACACAAAAATACATGTTTCATCAAAGCCAAAATTGAACAGAAGCGAAGGTACCCACGCAGTCCACAACGTTCTTTTTTGTTTTGTCTTGGCTCAAATCAGCGCTCACAGCACGTCTACCGTTTACTCCAACCCGTGGTCATAGAAGGTTTCCTCTCCTTGAGGTCCCCTACCCGCCCCTCCTGCAGTACTTTGGATTAGATATTCAACGCGAGAAGAGGGCAGCACTCTCTTCCCTCTGTAAACACACTAACTAGCGCTTTCCGACCCAGGGTAGGAACGGAATCGAGAGAAAAAAAAATCAGTTTGCAAGAAAAGCTCGCTTACACAAGGACTCGAACCTGTGACCCTCGCCGCTAGAAGGTTTTCGAGGTACCAACTAGATTTGTATACCGAGGCGACCCACAACGATACACCACTTTTGGGCAGGTGGTGAAAAAAGAAGGGGGGTCAAGAAAAAATACTTGGCGTCAACCTGGCTTCTTCTAAAGGGATCACATCACATCACATCACATGTCATCGTCATTCTCGGCAAACCTGACAAGACTTGGAGCGTAAATCAGTGGCAGCGGGAAGTAGAGTAAAAAACAAAAACGCATGGCAAGGCTTACCCCCGCGAGCAGGAACATGGTCTCCCTCTCTCTCCGGCAGTGCCACACGCTGTTCATCAGCCAGTCCAGGTGCACCACGAACACACCCGGCATCCTCAAACCCGTCTTCGTCTTGACACATACAGTACATCGAAACATAGATTGGTGAAAGAAAAACATGCACACAAAAAAAGCAAAGAAAACATTAGACTGGTACGAAAAACAGAAACAATTAAATATGGTGACAGGTCAAGGGAGCGGAATGTCACCGGTTGCTTTCGTCCGTGGTTGCATCATGCATGACTTGGATATTGATGATGGGAAAAAAGATACAAGAAGAAATACATGCGAATACCTGAAATCAGCAGTACACTAGTACTCTGACAAGGAGTGCGCTGCGCACCATCATCCCACACTTAAAAACACACATGTTCGCAGCTCCGACCACACCTGCCTGTCTGCCCGCCTACCTGCCTCCACCCAGTCAACCTTCGAGAAAAACACTCCAGACAAACTACTACACTACTAAATCTCGCGGAGACTTTTGTACCTATGTATGTACGCACGCGCCAAACAGAAACAGCCTGTTCTGCCTCCTCCCATTGTGTCCACTCTCTACCTCCGAGAAGAACCACGTCAGGAACAAGAAAATCCCGCGTTCCGTTCGTCAGGCACAGTAGTTACTGTACCTTGGCGGTGCCCAGCCTCGCCGCTACCACGTGCGTCGTGTGCCTGCCGATGTCTCTCTCAACCTTGGCACCATGGCTCTCGGCCATCATCCAGAGGCGGTGCGTGCGGGGGTCCGCGGGGGCGCCCGACACGGGAATAACGCCGCTGAACACCATGCGAACTCCCGTCAAAACCCGCAGGCGGACCTTCGCCAGGAATCCGGCTGCGGCCCTGTTCGTTGGTTGGAAGATAGATCGGCTGAAGGTTTGGGTTCGCTGTCTTCACATTCAAAAACGTTCCGATCTCTCTATCTGGCACCTCCCTCTTGCCTGTCTGTGCTGATCAAGCACTTGACGCGGTCGATTCTCTTGGTCACAGGCTAACGTACCCTAAAAAAGGTATGCTCAACAAAATGGACCCGAAGGGTCCGCAAGCCAATAGGTAGTGGAGTCAGGTTTGAGATGGGGAGCCAACTCCAACTTTTCTCGAACAACGTATGTCGAGCTTTCACCATTTGACGTGCATCAGCCGGAGGAAAGAAAAACGAAAGGAATATGGCGGAAAAGAACAATCGTTGTGGTTCTTGCTGTTTGTCGTCACAATAAACACGGTTCCGGTCTCAACACTCTCGAGCATCCGCACCGGTTATGACAGTCATTTAGGTTTGACGTACCGTGGTTGCCCGTGGTTGCTATTCTCCGGCGCGTAGAAAGCTCCGTGCACAGCCTCCAGGGTCTTGAACGTGCAGTCCAACTGAGGGTCGTTCTCCGCGCTAGCGATGACCTTCGGCGGCGACATCGGCGGCGCAAGCATCTCTCGTCGCCGCCCCAGTGGATGCCCCTCCAGGCTGCTGCTGTTGGTGGTGCTGCTGCTGCTGCTGCTGCTAGTTCTGGCTAGCGAACCGGAACCACCGTCGCCGCCGGAACCACCCCCATCGCCCGCAGCAGCAGCAGCGGCAGCAGCGGCAGCGAGAGCTACTGCGGGTTTCCCGGAATCGCCCGGCGTTGCGGCCGCCGCTGCACGGTCGTCGGCTCCCGTCTCTGGCGAACCTATCCCAACGGCATCTGCAGCATCCTCCTCCTTTTCCTTCTCCTTGCCGTCCTCATCGAGTGTGCTGTCGCTAGCAACCGTTGGCTTTTTCGTCCCTGGCACCGATAGTCTATTTCCCCCTACGTGGCCACCTCCTTCTTCTTCCGCTCCACGACTGCTGCTGCCCCCCCCAGCCTCATGCTCTTGTCGCTTATTTTGCAACACCCGCGCCAGCCCGTCTCCCAGGCTAGCCACCTGCTTGTCCGACGACGAGGAGCAGGAGGAGGAGGAGGAGGAGGAGGATTTTCCCTTGCCTCCTCCCCCGTTACCGCTGTCATGTGGACCAACCCCCTGCCCAACCTCCTTCTCCTCCTCAAGCTGCTGCTGCTCGCCCTGTCGTCTCCCGACTTTAACTCCGTTCATTTCCACATCACTATCCTCGTCTTCTCCTCGCTCGGCAGGAGAAGCCCTCCCGCCACCATTGTCGCGAACATTCACGACGGACTTCTTCCCGTTGGCCTCTTCCTCCTCTTCCCCCCTACTCGGTTTCCTCGCTTGTCCAGTCGTCATAGCTCCCTTGTCCCTCGCTCCCAGCTCCTCCGCTTCTTCCTCCTCTTCCTCCCCTTCTCCTTCTTTGCTCCTATCACCATCCTCTCCGACACCCGGAAGGCCGCTCTTGGTTGCCCCGGGCAGCGGAGAATGTGCCGCAGAACGTTCCAACCGTTCCCAGAACGGTGCTGGCGCCGCAGCTGGTGTCGGACGGGGTTGTGGATGTGGTCCGGCATCGTGGGTTGGCCCGCCGGGGACGCTCCGCTGTCCCTGATTGGTCAGAGAACAACAAATAAAAAGCATGATGAGGAACGCAGATGACGAGACCTGTTCGGAGCAGAAGCCTCTCCGTGTTTGGGTGCCGGGCGTTCGAACCACGACCACATCGGCCTCAAACCAAAAAGAAGACAGCAGTGGTCCCATTACTCTGACAGGTATTCCGGCCAAATGGCTACTATGGTAGCCTCCCAGATGATGTGGTAGAAGGGCACAGATGCCGGAGTTGCTACTAGTCGTCAGCAGGCATATGATCATGGTGGCTTCAAATCTGAAGGCATGGGATGCTTGCTCTGCGGGAAGGAGGTTCGGTCGGTCCAACCACCACTATGTTAGACGTTCTCTAGTAGACTACCCCCTCCGTAGCTCTGTAGTACTTACTTCAGCTCACAGCAGGTGTCCTTTGTCTTTGCCATGTCCTAGGGCGGGCTGAGTATCCCTTGCCCTTTGCCGCCAGCGGCTACCCTACTGTACTATTAATAGAGCATCACCACTAGGAAAAGCAGCAGCAGCTACCGAAACGACGGTGTACAACCCCCCCCCAAGTGCTCACTCACCACGAAGAACTTGTACGGTCTGACGAGAAGGAGGTTCTTTGCCTGCTCTCCCCTCCAAACGTCATCTCGGTCATCCACGATCAGCGCCATGTCCAAGCCGTTCGGGAATATTCTTTCCAGCGACTGCAAACGCGGCGACACGAACAATACAGCGGGCGGGGGGGGAGGGGGGAGGTCGTTGCACAACTGAAAACTTTTGTCCATCAGACACGCGGCCTCTACCTACCGACGACGTGCCGCACCCGGTGCACAGATTATATCGCACCCGGCTCACGCAAAAAAAAAAAAGAGAGAAAAAAAAACAATCTTGCGGGTCTTGGTTCATGCAAAGCTCCAGCCAAGCGCATGTGCCCGAAAAGGCAACAAATGCTATCCGTGGACAACAATGGGATGAACTACAAACCAAGAAGAGAGAGAGAGAGAGAGAGAGAGAGAGAGAGAGAGAGAGAGAGAGAGAGAGAG